GCCGTTTTTTCCCTAGTTTCGCGGAGAAAGTATGTTCAAGAGTTACGAGAATTGCAGCGTGCACTTGTCCTCACGGAATATCGTTAAAGTTTCGACCATAGGTTGTCGCGATTTCGCAACTTTAAATTATCATTTTAACGCCTGAAATATCCGGCGAAAGGAAGAACCGAGAAACTACTTCTTGCTTTGATTTTAATAACTTTTTTGGAGGGGTGGATGTTACGTAAAAATGGGGGATGCACAATGATCAGTGTGCAAAGTTTAATTAAAATTCGAGATCGGTGTCGGGAATTGTAATTGGTTATGAATTATAATTCGTAATAGAGAATTATATTTTTCGAGGAGGGGGAGGGACGAGAGGATCGAACGATTTATGAAAATGGAAGATGAAATTATAACAACGATAAAATAATTTAATTAAAATTCGAAATCGTTTGTTACGAAAGTTCGTGATTATTAGGAATTATAATTGGTTATGGATTGCAACTTATAGTGGATGATTATAGCTAGTTGCAGAGTTGGAAAATTAATTGGTATAGCCATTAAGTCAGTTTCTTTCGTCGTTATCTAGATTCAATTTTCGAGTTTCATGTGAAAATTAATTCACCAAATGCTATCGATAAAAAATTTCGTTACGTATGTTTTGCATGTATTTGGATTTAGATCGTTAGATCAATTTTTTCCCTTCTTATTTCTATAATCTCTCTTAATCAAATATCAAATTTAATATTTATTAATTGCAAAACAATTAAAAATTAGAAATAAGAGACTTTTTAAAACTTTCTAACAAAATTAAAACCTATTGTCATTGTACATTATTTATCACAATACTGCACACGAATACAAGCTCGTCTGATTATCACTGCTTATTTCCCCTGGACGACGGTCTGAAATGAAATCGTCGTCGAGATATTAGCGAAAAAGTGGTTTCATCGAAAATATCGGTCTGCTTCATTAGGGACCCTTTATCGAGATAAGGATTCATTTAAATTGTCGGTGGAATTTCGGCTTGGAAATCTTGGGCTCGGATCAAGAAAAACGACAAAAAGCTTAGAGCCATCGGAAGCATCCCTTTATCTTCGAGAGCACCTAATTTACCGTTATGATTAATCGTGGCCCGATCTTTAATGTTCCCGTTCCCATTGTGCCTTTTTCAGGACGGCAATCGAGGAATCTGGAGATATTGGGGCAAATATCGGGTCACCATCACGGAACGCAGTATGCATCGATGTCGGAGAATTACAAGAACAGTGAGTATTGAACTTATATATACTTCTTGTCGTTTCTTAGAAATGATTGAAACGTGAATATATTTGAAAGCTCAGTTTTTTTTTTAATTAAAAAATAAAGAAAACAAATTTATTTGTTTAAATTGCGAAATTAATCAATCGTACGTGTACTTGTATTATTATTATTCTTTAATTTAATTTAATTTAATAAATTGTTCGATATCAATGAAAATTTATTTCGCTTCTTTTGAAGTAAGAAATCTAATTCAGATGGAGGAATGGTAATTAACAATTAAAAATTGTGTACGCGAGATTTAATTAAATCTTAATTCTGAATGAAACGATTTTTTAGATTGAATTAATTTCATACAAATAATGAAATTATTCTGAGCATTTCTATATAATAAATAAATATTGAAGTATATTATAATATAAAATATAATATAAATACTAAAGATCCTGTTTTAGAGATTAATTAGATAAAATGATATAAAAAGAACATTCTAAACCATTCAATAGGATTTATCTATGGTCAACCAAGTCTTTAGCATTCTTCTGGTATATAGAGGATTAAGATGAAACAATAATACATACATGTATACAATTTCGTAAAGCCTCTTCTAAAAATTTCTGTCCATAATATCTGGCCCAAATAATAGCTAATTAAAACGTTTTGTAATATTTCTAATGAAATGACACATTTAATACCACCATACCACACAAAGAACACAAAGTTAATGAAATGAGAATACTTATTACACCAACTTATGGAAATTCCACATATTTTAATAATTTTTAGAAACAAAATTACTTCTTGCGACAAGAAGATATAATTTTTCAACCTCTTTTAACAATTTTTAAAACTCATCCTAATCAATCCGTCCTTCTTTCCTTCGAAACAAATCATGGTCTCGATTTCCAATTCCAATGATTTCGAATTTTCATTCATTTGAAATTCCCGCGAAAAAGGGAAAGCCGCACTCGTTGACCAATGAACAAACACGCACACTTTTGTAGAAACAGAGTAGACGATGGTCATTCAGCATTGACCATAATCCAGCCTGAAATCAGTATCCGAGAAATCTCGAGGGATTAGCGTGATAAAGATCTTCCTCTCTGTCTCTCTCCCTTCCTGTTGGATGTTGAAAATCAGGAGCAGTGAACGTGTACGGTAACATTTATCGTCGTTGCTGTTGTTGTTTTCGTTAAAAGCCGAAATAAAATAGAAAACGAGCGTGTTTTCGCATTGCGTTAACGGCTGCACTACACGAGCCAGGTCAAATGGACCGTTTCACCTGGCGTTTCGTTGCCTCCGATTGTGAAATAACAACTTTCCCTGTTATGGACCATGTCTATCACTACTTGGCCTCTCCTCGATTTCGAATTACCGAGATGTTTCGAGAATTTCTCGTTGTTTCATCGGCTATTTGCGGTTAAACAATTGTTTGGCAAAAGATACTATCGAGAGGTGTTGGTGGAATTGGTTGGAGGTGGTTTTACCGATATTCGAAGATTCGAATGTAAACGAATCGAAGTGTTGGAATTTGATCGTCCCTGTTGGGATATGGGTTTGCGCATGGTCTTGAGAGAATTAAAGGAAATTTAAGATGATTCTGAATTTAAAGCTGAAATTACGTTGGTATTTTGTTTCATTCCACGATTCTATTTTTTTATTTTTAATTACTCGTTTCAACTATTGATCCATTTTTGAGATTAATCAACTTATAATCTAAGCTTTTATTTACTTATTTATATTTTAATTATTTACAAACTGTGCTTTCATTAATCACAACGATAATATTAATTTGTTATTTTCTATTAATTACCTGTTGCTTTTAATTGAACTTTTTATCAAAGTCTCTTTGTAAATTAAATACTTTCGATATTTACTAAATCTTTAATTAAGAATTTTGTATTCAATTGCATTACAATTTTTTATGTTTTCGTAATCGAAAAGATTCAAATCCTTCTAGAATAAACTCTGTTTTCAAACGTTTAGTAAATTCGTGCCAATTATTGGTTAATTTATTCGATTATATAGAAGCACATTGGAATGTCTTTTTCTTTATTTCGATTTCATTCGATTCACAGAGCGTAGTCTCTCTTTTATTCGAGCAAAATGGAAAATAATCTTAACGCATGGATTTGCGTAAATGTTTTTGCATTGTGCAAAAGAACTATGGAAATTGCACGAAATCCCAATATCCTGTAATATAGGGGAGAATTTACCATGATTAAATCGAGGCCTATAATTTGCATAGCCGTGTAAAAATTGTAATTTACACCTTGGATTCGTTCTCTGTTTCATCTGTTTCACACGCTTTTATAAAATAATCGATCCTCCCATCGATTTCATACGAGGTATTGGTAATTTTAGTTATTGCGTGTATTAATTCTTTATGAAGATATATAAAAAATTATTTAATTTGAGATTTAATAATTTTGTTTTTATTTAAGAAAACTAATAATTGATGTATAACAGTGTAATGAAATAAAAAGGTAAAGTGAGAGTAAAATTGAATAAAATTTAAAAATTAATATATATGGATTCAATTTATAATCCACTATTTCATATTTTCTTTTAAATTTGAAGATTTAATATAATTAATAGAAAACATAAATCAAGTAAATACACATTTCATTAAAATTTGATCATTTGAAACTTAAAAATTAAAACGAATTCAGGAAAATAAACGAACGAAAACGAAAATTCAAATTACGTCGAATTATTCGCGTGCAATGTGATATAAAAAAAAAATGGAGATTAAAATTGCTTAAATAAACAAAAAAAAAAAAAAAAAGGGGAATAAAAATGGTTAAAAAAACAAAAAAAAAAAAAAAAAGGGGAATAAAAATGGTTAAAAAAACAAAAAAAAAAAAAAAAAGGGGAATAAAAATGGTTAAAAAAACAAAAAAAAAAAAAAAAAGGGGAATAAAAATGGTTAAAAAAACAAAAAAAAAAAAAAAAAGGGAATTAAAAATTTTAAAAAAAAAAAAAAAAAAAAAAAAAAAGAAAAAATAGAATCCATGATTCTACTTCTCCAATCGTAGCATAGAATTTATTTAAAGTATCTATTGCAATCTCTTTGAGTCGGGCTGTTATCGAATCGCAAGGGTGCACGGCCGTATCAAAATTCCAGGCATATCACGATATATCCGATAAAGTATGAAAGGCAACGTTCATTTCAATATCCCGTCGTAAACATCGTCGTGGCAGTCGACGATCGATAATCGTGGAAAAATCGGACGAAATGCACTCTGTACAATCCTCGATGCCGAAGAAAAAGTGTATCATCCGTGACATGGAAGCCAAACGAAATTCCTCTTACCCTCTTTCACTTGTCCTCCACCATATCAACGGTATTGTTATCTTTCTTTTTTTTTTCAGACTTTCACAATTAACTACACGATCTTTTGTTCTACGAAATCTCTGAAACACAATGATGTTTCTTTCGTATCTCGAGCACAATGATCTTCTTCGTTTCTTAATTTAATGATTCATGAAATCTCATTTTTCTCGATTCATTTTTAATTTGTACTGCTATAAAAATACTGATATAAACGACATTTGTTTGTTTTTCAAATCATTTAATCAATTAATTTATTAATTTATTAATATTTTGAATTATAGTATGATATATTTTTATTTTGAAAAATGTATGTCTATTATCATGAAAATATTTTTTTTTCATATGTTTAATTTGTCAAATTTCGATTAAATTCGTAATTATTGTATAATAAATATCCTTATCCTATCATTAATAACTTGAATCGTCATTGTATCTCAAAATTTTCTATTATGCATCAAGTTTAGGAAAAAAATGATAGATTTTATCTCTCGGAACAAGTGTAAAAATCCAATAATCCAGGGAATTCCGATTTATGGAGCGAGCAACGCGCTAAATCACGATATAAAAAGCTCTCCTCCGCGAATGAATCACGACTGTCGAAGTTCAAAAAAAGTTTTTCATTACGATTTACCTCCCAGCCAATCCCTCCCTTCCATATCTCTCTTATACACCCATACACTCCCTCTCCAATTTTTCAAATACCATTCAAAACGTTCCAAAATGTCCCGAGGCGGCCTGTAATCGATTACAAATTCGAAAGAAAGAGCCGCAAGTTTGGAACAAGCAGCGCCGTCAATCATAGCTCCCTTCCAGAAGGCGGACTCGTTTTTCTTCGATACCTTCTTCCCTCTTTTTTTCCCCTCGAAGAGAAGTTACGCTCCATTATTCCGTCCGTGCATTTCCTTCGTCCCTCAGGCTCGTTCGCGGCGAAGAAGGAACATCCTTCTTCCCCTCCCCCTCTCCTCCGTTTCTTTCTATTTTTCCACCGTTTTCCACCGTCGACTAATCAACGCGGCAACCAGAAATTCCACGATATGACCAATTTCGGTGCCCAGTACCGTGGCGAGCTTCATATATTCAACGTTAAGCCGACATTTTCCACCCTCCTTCGCTCCTCTGATAATGGAATCCGCCTTGAATTCCATGGATACCATTGCCACGAGTCTAGTTACCTCGAACCTTTCACGATTGCCGACTATCTGTAATAATGATTTTATTACGGGTTGTGAAACTGGTTTTTGAACGAATATATACAATCGTTGTACAAATGTTGTATGTATGTATGCAATCAAAAGAGATTTAATTGCTTTAACGACAAAAATATATAATATAATAGGTATTCTTGTCTTTTAATGAAGATATATCAGGTACTTGATCATTTAGATTAATTAGATTAAGCTCTAAACTTCATTCAATTTTCACGATATTTAATTTTTACAGATAAACTTTTTGTTGGTAATTTTAAAATTATAGGAATTGAAAGATTCCCTGGCGGAAAACCCCGAATTGGGGTCTTCATATCTTTCGCCAAGGAATTCCTTCTTCTTTAATAATCATCATTGTAATTCAGAATTTCCATCGAATCGAATAATCACATTTATAATTTCCGAAATTTATTTAAAAAAATTTTTGTTTTATTACTAATATATATATTTTTTTAAATCTTTATTT